TGCCCCTGTCCCTCTGTCCCCGTGTCCCCATGTCCCCTCCGTCCCTGTGTCCCCCTGTCCCCGTGTCCCCCCTGTCCCTGTCCCCGTGTCCCCCCTGTCCCTGTCCTCGTGTCCCCCCTGTCCCCCTGTCCCTGTCCCCGTGTCCCCCCTGTCCCTCTGTCCCCGTGTCCCCTGTGTCCCCAGTCAAGGGCTACACGCGGAAGGCGGCGGCGCTCGAGGCCATGCGCGATTACACCAAGGCCATGGAGGTTTATCAGCGCGCCCTGGACCTCGACCCCTCCTGCAAGGTGACCCTGGCACCCCCCGGGACCCCCCGGGACCCCCCTGAGCCCATGGGACCCCCTGTGCCCCCCCTGTGCCCCTCGGTGTCCCCCCTGTGCCCCTCGGTGTCCCCACTGTGCTCCCCCAGGAGGCTGCAGAGGGGCAGCGCCACTCAGAGCCCCCTTTGCCCATCCTGACCCCCTGTGCCCCTTGGTGACCCCTCTGTGCCCTCTGAGACCCCCTGTGCCCCTTGGTGACCCCTCTGTGCCCCTTGGTAACACCTCTGTGACCGCCTGTGACCTCTGTGACCCCCTGTGCCCCTCGGTGTCCCCCCTGTGCCCCCCAGGAGGCTGCAGAGGGGCAGAGCCACTCAGAGCCCCCTGATCCCTGTGACACCTGTGTTCCCTCTAATCCCTGTGTCCCCTGTGACACCCCCATACCCTCTGTGTCCCCCTGTGTCCTCCTGTGTCCCCCATGCCCCCTGTGTCACCCTGTGTCACCCTGTGTCACTCTGTGTCCCCAGGAAGCTGCCGAGGGGCTGCGGCGCTGCGTGCGGGGGCAGCAGCAGCGCTGAGAGCCCCTGATCCCTGTCACACCCCTGTCCCCCCTGTGACACCCATCCCTTGTGTCACCCTGTGTCACCCTGTCCCCCCTGTGTCACTCTGTGTCCCCTGTGTCACCCTGTGTCACTCTGTGTCCCCAGGAGGCGGCCAAGGGGCTGCGGGGCTGTGTCCGGGGGCAGCAGCAGCGCTGAGAGCCCCTGTGCCCTGTCACACCCCTGTCCCCCCTGTGACACCCTGTGCCCCCCATGCCCCCCATGTCCCTTGCGTCACTCTGTCCCCTGTGTCACCCTGTCCCCCCTGTGTCACCATGTCACCCTGTGTCACCCTGTCCCCCC